TCTCTTATACACATCTAGATGTGTATAAGAGACAGCACACACACACACACACACACACACACACCAGAAAAGAACACAGCCGTGACACAGCAGCTCGGCGACAACAATTGCAGAGCGCACAGCACAGAGTTTGCAGTGGCCGTTGTGGTGTCTATTGGTGCGACTGATAGCACCCTTCCAGCTCTGTGTGATGTAGGCCATTTGCAAAGCCAATGTCCCAGATTTGCAGTTGATCACGATAAACTAAGACCAGCCTCAAACTTCGGCCATGCGCCAGAGGACAGCCCAAGTTCATGGCAGGCGGATCATCCAAAAATTAAGTCTGGCTGACAATCTGGGCCATCCGTACGCACGAGTGGCACAGATTTGCGGCCAACCTTCAATTTCATTATATAACCACAGAAGACAGGCAGCTCAAATTTCAAAGACCATTTGCCTGGGAATAATGTTGCACATGTTTTCTAGCAGTCATAGCTCAACAACTGATGCACATCAGAATACTTTGTGATCTCATCATCATGCTTGCAGGGCCCCTCATTGTCTGCACCACCCCATTCCCATCTCCACACCCCACCACCCCAGGCGCATCACAACACCTCTCCATGTCGACACCCCCCTTGTCCCGTGCCTACACCCCCCGACATGTACATTCCTCTCATATCTACACCCCCCCATCTCTACACCCCTCGGTGTGTACATCCCCCCATGCCTACATCCTCCCCCCCATGTCTGCATTCCCCTCACGCCTGCCCTAATTTATCAAGTTCCCTCGTATCTACACCCCCATGTCTACACACCCCCACGCCAACATCTTACCCCCCCTTAATGTCTGCATTCCCTCATGCCTTCTTCCATTTATGCCCCGCATTTATGGCCCCCATTTATGCCCCCCATTCATGCCCCCTATTTATGCCACCAATGCCTGTGCCCTGACGTGTTGCCCGCATGCCTGCACCGATGACTGTGCATTCAGGGGTCAGCGGTTCTGCATATGAAAGCCATGTTCTCTCTGTGCTATTGAAAGCGGGTGATGGATCGCCAAAACATGGGTGGGAGAGGTGTGTGTTGCTAGTTTCTTGTTGATGTGCACGTCTGGCATGTCACTTCGTGCAAATCAAGTGGCATGGGGGACGGGGGTGCTTCGTTACAAATTGGGGTGTTTTAAAGAGTCTGCCGACAAGATCCTGAGAGTAAGGAGATTTCGTTAAGAACAACAATAACTCGATCCTCATATCAGTTCGCACCTGATTTTTCGAATGATGATATTCTGAATGGCTTTTCACAGGATTTTTTCGAATGATTTCTTGAATGATTTCAACATAAACTAAGGTGCTATTGAGTTTTAACTTGATTTCAGCGGAGAAGAAATGCAGTTGCTGACACTATCATCTCTCTCTCTCTCTCACCCACCCACCTCTCTCTCTCTCTCTCTCTCTCTCTCTCTCTCTCTCTCTCTCTCTCTCTCTCTCTCTCTCTCTCTCTCTCTCTCTCTCTCTCACACACACACACACACACACACACACACACATGTATACATATATTGTCAAACAGAGCTGCCCGAGAAACCGTAGGCAGAGAGGGAGAAGTGGACAACAAATGAGGGCCTGTGACGAACTGACAGACTGTTTCACGCAGTTTCACCGACTCGTGAGGCTGTGACAGTACAATATACAGAACTGCCCGGTGAACCATAGGCAGAGAACGAGAAAAGGACATCAACGAGGGGTTGTGACAGATTGTTTTGTCGGAGTTTCACCAACCGACTCGTCAGCAGGAGGCTGCACTATCTACAGTCTCAAGAGTCCCCTAACCAATGATGATACTGTTAAGTGATAATCCACCTTAACACCGGTCCGGTTGCGGTTAAGCATCAACGACTGATAGAAAATTGACAGATACCCTGAGGTGGCCACCCGAACCAAGATAAACAGGTAAACAGCCCCTCGTTTGTTGTCCTCTTCTCCCTCTCTACCTACGGTTCACCACCGAGTTCTCTATGTCTATATATCGTCATATATGGGAAAACTGCATCTGTACCCCTACCTAAAAGATGGAAATACCCACTATACCCAGTCCCAGCACCAACTTGCATCTACACCCAGAAAACAGCCCCTGGAAATTATTCGCATGCCCAGGACTGAAGTGAACCCCATTGGTGCTGCAAAATTGTGGTTATAACCAACTACCAGAATGCACAAATTATGGAAAATAGTATACCCAGGCAAAATCATGCGCATACCGAGGACTCAGGTGGACCAGCTGAATTATTCATATACCCTACTTACTACACGATGGCTGAAATTATGGCCATACCCAACAGCTGTTTTGCTGTGTGGTGCACAGGAGCATGGATGTGTCTGTGTGCACTTTTGTGTGTGCATAAACACCTTGCTCTCACAAGAGCAGGGGTACATGTCATGTGAAGCGCCACAGCAATTCACGGGGGGCGCAATGAGAAGAGGACTTGTTCTCCTTAGAGGAGCATTTGTTCCCCACGTCTCGTGCAAGACACACTACGGACCACAAGCGCTCCGCGGCTCCACTGACATTTTGCCTACGTGGATTGCTCTGGCACCTCGGACTGACATTCCCTTCATGGTCATTTCAGCCTTCATGGTAATTTCAAAACAACAGAATGGATGGAAAGAATTTTCCGGAGTCATTGCAGAGAAAGTAACTGTCATTGTTTGACTGAAACTACTGCAGCATAACTCACAATCAGCCTTAAACCACCACCAGTACCCCGCCCCGGCAAAAAAAATGCCTTCCTGAATTCATGGAAGATATTGGGAGGCCCGGTAGGGCCTCGGTGGAGCCTCGGCACAGGTGCGTTTCGAAAACCAAAACGGATGACCACAGAGCACAACAGCACAAAACAAAAACAAAAACAAAAAATAGAAAACGAAAAAACGAAAACTTTCGGTTTTGTTTTTTTTTGGCGCTGCCAGCAGTGCAGAGCGTAATCCACGTTCATTCTCAGGGATAGCCCTCTCCGACCAGGATCACGGACAAACCTTTGCTTCCTTTTCTTGGGGGTGTGCTTCCTTTTTTGAGGGGGGGGTTGGTTTCTTTCCTCCGACGAACCACTTCCAAGCAGATGTCGGGGAGGACATGCTTGCAGAATGTACCTGAGCGTTATCGCAGCCAAATCCTTTTCGTTTTTTTTTTCTTTTTTTTTTTTTGGTCCGCCAGCAGTGCAGAACGTAATCCACGCTCGTTCTCAGGGATGGTGTCACCCAGAATGTACCTGAGCGCTATCACAGCCAAATCCTTTTCGTTTTTTTCCTTTCTTTTTTTGCTCTGCCAGCAGTGCAGAACGTAATCCACACTCGTTCTCAGGGATGGCGTCACTGATGGCATACTCACACTAGTACTTTCACCGACGGCATACTCACACTAGTACTTCCCCGAATGTATCTGACCGCCATCACGGC